GCCCTAAATGCGGATAGTTTATAAACCGTTGGGTCATTAGAATTTGCCGGAATATACATCGGATCATGCGTGGGCTTGATGTAGACCTTCGTGCATAAAGTTCCATTCTTAAATTCAATGCTAACGTCCAAGAAGTGTAGTTCCTTGTTACTAATTTGCTCCAGGTTAAGTTTTAAGCCATGTTGGTTAGAGTTCACTTGGTCCAAGAATCGTTTTATCATTGCGCCTGGAGCAAATTAGTAAAATTTGCTCCAGGCGCAGTAAAATCATTGCGCCTGGAGCAAAAATTTACCGGTACGTTTTTACGATAGTTCTGTATATTTGACGGGAGTAAAAAAAATCCATTAAAATATTTTATATATTCATTCTGTTCTCCCATCTTGTATTACTTACAGATTTCAATGTTAAACTAGCGATAATACGATTTAGTATATCCCTTCTATAAGGGGATGCAGTAAAAAACGCGTACAATTCTTGTACTGTAATCTAAGCAGAATAGAATTTAACATTAGTAAATAATATAAATATTGAAAATTATAACAAGACAGTTACGGCTAATAGATATAACATCTATTCGTTTAGATATATGTTTTTTTTTTTTTTTTTATCAAAGCAAGAATTGGCATTTAGAGGGCATATGGAATCTATTGAATCTAATAACAGAGATAATTATATTAAACTTGTTTATTTATTAAGTACATCAGATAATCTATTAAAAATACATTTATAGAAGTGTACGGTTTTTACTGGCTTATCGAACAAACGAATACGAATGAACCATTGACGCAAAATTAACCGATTGCCCCTGGAAGTCGGCTTCTTACAGAAACGCAGCTTCCCTATCATCAAATGTCACGGCACGTCACTGATGTATATATATATAGCCTATTTATACGCAACTATCATATGGAATAACCCAGCATTTCCAATACTTGAGATTGTATATTTACTTGAAACGTTTAGGTATTGATATCCTGCTTTGATTAGATTTTAATGTAATTTAAAACTAAATTTTTGCAGGATATTTATTGGTTAAGTCTCTAGACCTATTTTGGATAAAATATTTTATCCATCAATTAGTCCATACATAAAATTAACAAATTTATCATTTACCAGTATGAGATTACATCTATTCTAGTTCTATCTTCTCAAACTTTAGTATCCTGCTCTCTTTGCAATTCTATCAATACAAATCAAGAATTTAAAAATCATACAAATAGTCTGCTTTTTAATTACTTTTATTTCATAATATTCTTTTTCTCACAATAAGCAATTCAAATAATAACCATTTTTATTATAAATGCTTAGTAATAAAATACATCAAAATAATATACAATTTTACTTTCAAACATCCAACGTAACTGTTGATATCTGTTTTCAGTGTGTTAAAATGTTTTTGTAAGATTATTGCAGGCATTCACCTCAAACTAAATTATCAACAAACTTAAAAATTCTTTTTCACATAATATTTCAACATTATTAATAATATTTCTTAATACATGAAAGGAAAAAATCCTCTTCTTTTATCAGAATTCTCTTTCTAGTTTTATCATCTGTCAAATTTATTTTCATTTATCCACTTCTTGAAGTGGTAATAAAACCAAAAATATAATTCAGCTGGAGAGAACTTCTTTAATGTAATTAAAAAACGTGAAGAAGAAAAAATTCAATTGTATATTCAATGTTCATACATTTATCATTTTCCATTTACAAATTAATACACATTCATAAGATAAATATTTTATCATAAAGTTATCAAGTCAATGATATAACTGCATATCATCTAGCTTTATATATTCAGAATTTTACATAATTTACAAGAACTCAAATGTTTAAAAATAACTTTAAAATACTTTTAAAATTGTATATAATTAAATAATACTAAACAACAATAACAGATATAAAACTGATGAATTTATATAAAATCAATAAAGTTTATATATCAGTTTTACGTGATTATTTTTTACAGTTACTGTTAAAAACTTTTCAATAATTTTTATAATGATAAACTGTAAAATAAATCTTTCAAAATTCTCTTTTACCTGTATGTTTTACAAACATACTTTATTCAAAATGCAACATAAAATTGCAAACAAGTCCTATTAAATAAAAACAAATTAGTAGATCAAATCTAAAACAATCAAATCATATAGATAAATTAAATTAGTAATATTCGATGTTTTTGATTATTATCTGACATTTTTTAGTATCAAATAGCTTATAAGAAAGATTAATTTTTCGTAAGTTTTATAGGCTATGAAATGAAATCACAAATACAGTAAAACATCAGTTATCCAAATAACCATTAAAAAAGGTACCATGTAAACTTTTCCAAGTATTTATATAAAAACATAAATTTATTATTAAAGCTATATAAAAAAAATTAGTTACTAACTTTAATTTGAACTTATGTAAGATAAAACATTATTCAGAAGACATATATATATAGGCACAAATTTTGACAAAAATATTTGTTTTGAACATAAATGTTTCATTGTTACTTCAACTATTATTAATTAGTTGTTATAAATTAATCNTAAAAAACGTGAAGAAGAAAAAATTCAATTGTATATTCAATGTTCATATACATTTATCATTTTCCATTTACAAATTAATACACATTCATAAGATAAATATTTTATCATAAAGTTATCAAGTCAATGATATAACTGCATATCATCTAGCTTTATATATTCAGAATTTTACATAATTTACAAGAACTCAAATGTTTAAAAATAACTTTAAAATACTTTTAAAATTGTATATAATTAAATAATACTAAACAACAATAACAGATATAAAACTGATGAATTTATATAAAATCAATAAAGTTTATATATCAGTTTTACGTGATTATTTTTTACAGTTACTGTTAAAAACTTTTCAATAATTTTTATAATGATAAACTGTAAAATAAATCTTTCAAAATTCTCTTTTACCTGTATGTTTTACAAACATACTTTATTCAAAATGCAACATAAAATTGCAAACAAGTCCTATTAAATAAAAACAAATTAGTAGATCAAATCTAAAACAATCAAATCATATAGATAAATTAAATTAGTAATATTCGATGTTTTTGATTATTATCTGACATTTTTTAGTATCAAATAGCTTATAAGAAAGATTAATTTTTCGTAAGTTTTATAGGCTATGAAATGAAATCACAAATACAGTAAAACATCAGTTATCCAAATAACCATTAAAAAAGGTACCATGTAAACTTTTCCAAGTATTTATATAAAAACATAAATTTATTATTAAAGCTATATAAAAAAAATTAGTTACTAACTTTAATTTGAACTTATGTAAGATAAAACATTATTCAGAAGACATATATATATAGGCACAAATTTTGACAAAAATATTTGTTTTGAACATAAATGTTTCATTGTTACTTCAACTATTATTAATTAGTTGTTATAAATTAATCCAAATTTCCTCATTCCAATTATTTCAGATAGTCAATATACTATTTGTTTTTCTTCTTAGTTTAATAGCTCTAATTGCTATTTTATTTCCAAAAATTTCAATAAACTGAACTGATATGGCACTAAAATTTATTTAAGTATCTGCCTTCCAAGTGAATTAATCATCAATCAAAAGATCAATAACAACAAAATATACATTATTTTAAAGGCTATAAATTCCATTTTGCAATCATTCTATGTTCTGCTAAATACTTTTGTATTTCGATAAGGATAAAATTTTTCATCTTAATTCTTGGCAAGAGGTTGCATTCAATAAATATTATTTATTAAAAATATGTCAGTAAATATTAAGTGGCAGGAAGTTAATGGATTATGATCATCCAAGTATGAATATATATAAGTTATATTAATATTTAATAGTGATTGCTTTCAGTGTTTTGAACAATTTTAAGATTTGTGTGTAAATAAATCTGTTCAATTCAAATATTGTACAGTACATTCAAATTAAATATTTAAAATATTTCAATTTAATGTTTTAAATCAAATATTTCAATCAATAATGGTTCCACATCTTTTGGATTTACATCAAGATAAACTTTCACATTTTCTTCATTTAAAATATGAAGATCTTTTAAAATATCCATTAACTTTATATATATTGAATTAGCTTCATTTTCTGAATATATTGTATTTAAATACTTTTGCAACAGATAATAATAAATTTCTTGTTCCATTTGAATAACATCTTTATGTATAGTACAAGGACGATGAGGTGAAAACAATGTTATTGCACTTAAAAGAAGCATGATATTTTCATCATTTCTCCAACTTGGATGAAATGAATTTATAAACTTTTTATGTTCTTCATATAAATTTCCTTTTGCTTCTTTCAATATATCCATTTTAATAGACACTTTTGGTCCTCCTGGTCCTTTCCAACATTCTTTTTCTGGATCATATAACATCACTGAACGCAAAATCATCAATTCTGTACATCCACCTTTTAACAATGCTATCTGATCATCCTGACATAAAATTTTAAAACCAGAAATCCTAGTTGACATCTTTATTAATCTACGAATTGCAAGATCAGTCATATTGATTACATCTAACAAATTTGGATCAGGCACCCAACATGATAATGGCATTTTTAAAATTTCATTAGCCATCACTAATTCTTGAAGTTTATTAGTCTCTAACTCGCCTAGTGCTTTTGTATTTGTTTCTGATCTACTCAAATTTAAACTTCTGTTTGTTTGAGACGAACATGGAACATAAATATCATCTTTTTCAGATAAAAGACTAGTGACAATTTGATGAGATCCTGAAAATGAAGACTGACTTTCAAATTCAACACTCATGTCTGTTATCTCATTTGATATTCTACACATAATTTCAGGTTTGATATGAGATATTTCAAAAAATTTATTTTCATCTGAAGTATTTTTAGACACACATGATGATGTATCAGTAGAATCAGAAGAAATTGAGAAATGATCATCATTAATTTTTAAATTAGAATTATCTGACTTCACTTCTGTATCTGATGAATTATTAGATAATACAGGTATATGACTACTATTAATCTCATTATTAATATCTTCTGATTTTATTGAAGTAAGATGGCTGGATGAATTATTAAATAATATATTTTTTGTGTCTGTCAATTCTTTAGATTGCTGTAAAGAACTTTGTTGTAGTTTGCAGTTATATTTATCATTAGAAACACAAATAGGAGATAATGGACTAGACAAGGACTTTTCTCTGGATGCACCATTATTGGGATTATGTGATTTATAATTTCTACGGGATAATTTTTTTTTACTTTTATTTTTTTCAATTTTTGCTCTTTTATTTTGCTTTTCTTCTTCGGACATTATCCATTCTTTTTTCATGCCAATCTCGAAACACTTTTTTAAACGACATTTTTGGCAAAATCTTCGTGTAATAATATCCACCTTACAATTTTCATTAAAAGGACATTTAAATTCCTGGAAGAGAACAACAACAAATTTCTATAAACATCATATATATATATATATATATATTTGTTTAANTATTTGTACAATATATTAAAAATAAAAACTATTGTAGCAAAATTAAATAAAAAATCAAAAAATATTTAAATTTATATTCTGTTTATAACTCATTCTTGATTTATTCAATGATACAACATTAAATAAATCAAGAATGAGTTATAAACAGAATTAAATACAAGTTTCTATAATTTTATTTTATATAATTGCAGAATAGTAGTAATATGGCAATATGAAATGGAATATATTGATTTCATATCCATAAAAAAATTAATAATATCCAAAATTATTTCATTGTTTATTTATTTATCTTTCTACAAAAGTAAAATGTATATAATTTATATTCAACCAAATGATCTTTGTAATTAACAGGCTATAAATTTGCTATTATCAATGATTAGATATAAGGTAATTTGGTATTAGAAGTAGACATTAGGCATCATCTCTTATCTAAATTAATAATTATAATTTTTAATAATTTAGGACTGCCTGGAGGAAAAGAACTAGCCCAGAGCAAGACTAGAACCTCTGCTTACTGTGCAGTGTGCTTGCCAGTTATGCCATCCAGACCTCTGAGCAATTTTTCGCTTCCAGACATATTTAAACTTTAGTTTAACTTTTAATAATAGCAAATTTATAATCCGATTAATTATGGCGATTGTTTGGTTGAGTATCAATTTAACAAACTTTGGGAAGTTTATTATGTATATGTGTATAATTTAGAAAGATTAAAAAAAAGACTATCTATCATTGTTATTAAATACTTATAAAAAAGAGTTTATATAAAGGATAAATACATATATTTATCATTGCAAAATATTTCAAATGAAAGCATTTGGCAATGACAAAAATGCTTTATCCTTATACTAAATATTTTGCAAAAACTTTTTACAACTACTTTTTAGAAACACTTGAAGACAGTCATCATTTGTCAAATTACAGAGACAAGACAAAAGCATCTCTGATCTTATTGGAAATTAGTTTATCTCATTGTAATTCAATATACAAAATCAAAATATCAAAACTTTCACTTCTCTGAAAGCTTTCTGCACTACTGAAAAAAATTATAATACATAAATTTTTAACCCAAACAACAAATGCAAAATAAGCATCATATATGTGATAAATATAATCAAAAGTTATAGTTGGCATATAATTATACAAAATGTTTATTATTAATATTACTCACATATTCTCTTTATAATGAGTATATATCTGTTTTAGTGAAGTGTATCTGTTATTCAGGAGTAAACTCATTACTTCTGAGTAATAAGTATGCTGATGCTTGTATGCTCAGTATTCATTATACAATACTTAATTACTTGTTAAGACGTAACAGATATATAAAGTGGGTAAAGAAATGGCTATTGAAACTTGATCTTTTGTTATAAACCACAGTACTATTACTCAAATCTTTGAAACTGCAGTGTAATTTTAGTTTCCAAATGTTTTTGGTCATCTTAAACAATCTTGTTCAGTACATTAGTAGTAGTACTGTGATTTATGACAAGTGCAACTTTCAGAAAAGTGATCTTTCGTTGTTATTTTTGTTTATTTGTTTTATTCAATAATTGATTTTTACAGTATTTTGAAAACAGTATTATAATAAAAATGCTATTTGTATTCTGTTTGAATAGATGTTATTCCCAGTCAGGTTAATTTATGTTAAAAAATATCTTATTTATTATTTTAATATAAATAGTAACATTAACACAGCCAATAGTATTTTATATTCTAAGAAATTAAAACAAAGAACACTAGAGCTCTCAAAAGCAAGAATACAATATTTTTCTAAAATAGTGGTTCTCAAATATTTTTGGTTTACAACTCACAATCACCTTAGGACAGCCTAGCTATTAGTTGATCATGGAAATAATAAATCTTTAAAAATGAGAAAAACTTTATTTACATAATGTATACTTTAATATTTACACATACTTAGCCATCTCTTGTGATATGGAAATGTGCCATAATACACTGAGAATCACTGCTCTAAGACAGTGATGGGCAACCCACGCTCCGCGTCACATAAAATATGAACAAATATATAAATTTTCCAGCTTAAGGAAGTATGCAGCAAAAATTCAAAAGTTATTTTCTACAACTTAAGTATGTGAGTAGTTTTTCCACAATAAATGTATTAAAAATTAAAACAAGAAATGGCTAATAGACACATTAAATCTAATTTAAAAATAGCAGTGATTAATATTTATCCAAATAATTACAAAATATTATGTTTACATCTGCGCCAGAAGCTAAATTAAGTATATCTATGCTAATTTATAATTATATATGAATAAATAATTGTGATTTACCAACATTTTTTTTCCTCTTTTCTCTTATATGTGGCCTGCATCAGTTCAAAAGTTTTGAAATGTGGCCCCTACATAGAAAAAGGTCACCCATCCCTGCTCTAAGAGATGGAGACAACAAAAGAGATTTGTAGTTATGAGTGTCCACAGAAAGCTTTCTGGGATTGCCCCCCCAAAAAACTTTCTGTGGACACTCATACCTATAGTTTGGAGACAAATAATTACATCAATAAATTTTTTAATTTAGTTATTTCAATTTTTTGGACTTTGTAAAACAGATGAAGTGCTCCATGGCTGAAGGTATAAGGTTGCATATTTCAATCAGTTTTATGATTATAATTTGTGGAATTTTTTCTCAATTTCAGGGAGGCATGCACCCCATTTGTCCCTTTGCAGATGCCTATGTTTATAGAGGTAATGCATATTTTCTCTGTCAATGAGAAAAGTGAAAATTTAGCAGAAAGAGACAGATGAAAAACAGACCTGTAAGAATGTGAGGATCTATTGTAATAAGATAAATATATTATATCTTTATTCAAGCTTAACACCACTCCAATTCAAGATTTATTTATTACTATTTTCAAAGATATATTAGTGAACTTACAAGAAAGAAACACCAACCATTGGATTTGGGCATTACTGAGATTGAAAAGTTAAAGTCTGGATGTTAGTACCATTTAATGGCAATTGTGTAATATTTTGTTTTAAATATAAATAACAAAATGTATAACTAGGTTACAATTTATAATGTATTTAACATAAGTTTACTATTTTTATTTGTATTGTTGTAATTTAGTTATATTGACTGTAAAATACAATCATGTTGTTTTATAGACTCTTACTTTAAACAAACCAAGAGACAGTCTTCTTCCAGAAGTCCAATACTGTTTGATTTTAAAACTTTGTTCATTTGAAACAGTTAAAATTTCAAAATAATGATAATGACACTCTGTTCAATTCATGCAAATAAGTTTATGTTTATTTCTATTTTAATTTGAGATGGATCTATACTTTAAGATGGTTTATTCTGAATAAATATTTTATCACCAAGCCTTCAAGTTATGTTAAATACTTGAAAATTTTCATGTAAATATTATAGTTATTTTTTCAATAAAATACCTAAAATTGTTACACATTTAAAAATTTGTCAAAATTTATTAATTACTATTGTGAAAATCTGACTCTCTTATGAGAGTTTTTTTTTATATTTCCGTTATTACTCCCGTTATCACCCCGTTGCCCGAGGAATAGACCCCGAACAATGAACTGCGTAGTTAGCGAGGGTGACTTTCATCGTCCGAAGGTCATCGACGAGGGACCACAATGTCACGTGACCCCCATACGTCCGAGCGACCGGACAAAAATGACTATATAAGGAAATAAGTTTTCCGACGGCGCGGGAGACGGTAATAAATCAGGGAGAGATGTCAAAAGACGTCAACAAATTCCCAGATTTTTCCCACGCAGATCAGGTATATAAAGGGGTCGGATTTTCTACTCTAGGCGCTTAGCCGAGGAGCTAACGCCGAAGAAACCCCTCTGGACAGCTAAGGGAAAAACGGACAGCGATCGTCGGGGGAAGAGAATGCAGTGGAATACTCTTCCAGCACCCTCAGGATCTACGAAGCTCATAATCGCCACTCCATAAAAAGGTAAAGACTTGAATATTTTCTATTCTCTCCTTATATGACGGAATTACTCCTCAAAGAGGTTAATAGAAGAAACCTCTGAGAGAACTTCACCAGGAAGAACTCTCTACAGAATAGGAGCGACGGAGCATACACCACATTTGGACATAGCCGCACGACCTGAGAGGGACATCGCTCCACATAGCCTACAAAGGACACCTCAGATTAGAAGACGACGATCACAGAGTGTTTTACCAACACCCTATAATATGAGAGCGTTTCCTTCGAGGTAAACCCTTGCCATAATTAATTATCTCTCTCCAATGTAAGGTCTCTCTCGAACTTTAGCATTAGGTTAGGTTAGGATAGATTTTAGAATACCTATTTATATCTTGATACACGAGTGTTATATTTATTATCTTAGTGTATAATTTCTCATCTGTTTATTAAATGTGTTGTCTGTTTTAAACCTGTGTAATCTTTTGGACTCCTGTCATGACTTCCGACTCCTCCCCACTCATATCTTTAGCCCTCCTATAGCCATTTCCTGACAGCCAAGCCGGTAAGTGGGGAGAAGCTCTCCGCTTCAGCCCCCTTGGTTAGCACACTATAATTAAGTCTACCAGTTTATAAAGCATCTATTCAGATAATTTTGGTTTCATAACTAAACCATATCATGTATTGATAATATTAAAAATTAAATCAATTAACAAAATGTAGGAATGTTTGAAAAAAAACTTGAAGTGAATTCATATTTACAACTTATATATAATATGCAAGCAAACTGATGCTTGTTACCATATACAATAAAAATAATAAATTTATTAATTTTAAAAATTTGAATGTTTTGTTCAATCTGTCAACAATTAGAATAATCACAAGTCTTCTAATCTGAATACCAGTATTTTGCATAAAATCGTACTTACTAAACCTTTATTGTCCGGTACTTCTTAACTATTCATAAAAACAAATGTTTTCAGCCTCAGTCGAGGTCTGCTTCAAGTTAAAAGGACAA